ACACACCGTTAGCGGTAACTCATGCGGGGCCTGGGGCACACACGCATCGTTACTAGTGACTCGCACGGATCCTGGAGCACAAACGCAGTCATACACACACACACACACACCGTTACTGGTAGCATATAAAGGTGGTCCTGGAACACACACACAGAGACACACACACACACCGGCATTGGTAACAAGTACGGGTTTTGGAACATACACACGCACATTTGCACACACCGTTACCTGTAACTCGTAGGGGTCCTTCAAAACACACGCACCATTATTGGTAACGCGTGCGGGTCTTGGAACACACACACACACACACACCGTTACTTGTAACTCGTATGGGGTCCGGCAACACACACGCGCCATTATTGGTAATTCGTGCGGGTCCTGCAGCACGCACACACGCACGCCTCTACTGGAAACTCGTGCGGGTCTTGGAATTCAGTCACACATGCACACCGTCATTGGCAACTCGTACGCGTCCTCGAAAACAGACACGCCGTTACTGGTAGCTCGTGCGGGTCCTGAAACGCAGACACGAGCGCACGCACACACCGTTACTGGTAACTCGTAAGGGTCCTGGAACACACAAACACACCGTTACTGGTAACTCGCACGGGTCCTGGCACACACACAAGCACACACACACATCAACACATGCACATACACACATACACACATACACACATACACGCGTACACACATACACACATACACACACTCACACGCACACGCGCACACACACCGTTAGGGTGCTCCTGGGCGCCTCTTGGGGCACTCTTGGGGCACTCTTGGGGCACTCTTGGGCACTAGAGACCCCCGACGCGCGCGTCGGAGTTCTGCGTTGTCCACAATAGAAGAGTCGATATGCAGTTCTAGGTGCTCGTAGTGTTCGTCGCAGTTCGTGGTACTCGGTACCCAACACAGCCGGCATATTTGTGACCAACTGGTAAGCGTTCCTGTCGGAGATGGATGTGCGGTTGCGCGTCTCAGCTGAAGTCCAATCCTCCACCCGCCCGTATGCTTCCACGACAGACGGAGCAAAGTCACGAGCGGCACCCGATCGAGTCGATGCGCCACCAAGGGAAGGAGGACCATTTTTCATCTGCTGCTCAAGGGCCGCGATGCGAGCTGAGTCAGTCTGCTGCTGCCTCTGAAGATCCACAACTGCTTTTTCAGTGTTGTCAGTGTTTTCGTGCAGGGTCTGAAGAAGTTGACGGCTCTCTTCATTTTCGCGCCTGGATCGGTCATCTTTTTTTCAAAAGTCCATTCCAAGAAAGCTTTGAAACCTGAATCGCTAGACTGACTCAGGATCGTTTGGCGCTGCTGCAACTCTTTGGCTCTTTCCTCTGCCATCTCCAAATCACGTCTCCGTTTGCGATCGTTGGCTTCTGCATCAGCCATCCGAGCATCTGCCATTAGTGCAGAAGTGAAATTAGAAGAAGTACGCTCAATCAAATCCACCTCAGCAAGTGGACAACTTGGAATACCGCTCAGAATGCAAAGAAACCGCACGAATGTGTATGCACAGAAACCTGTCCGCACGATGCGGCTCGAGGAGGCCACCGACGGGCCACCCGACCGGCCGGAAAATACGAACTCTCCGGCAGGTCGGCTGGTCACCGCAGTTCGTGATTCTGCGAAGTGCTGCGTAGTGCTGCGCAGTGTTGCGTAGTGCTGCATAGTGCTGCGTAGTGCTGTTTCTGGCGCTGGTGCTGCTGGTGGTGGTGCGCTGGCGCTGCTGGCGCTGGCGCTGCCGGTCGCAGTCGTGGCGCGGTTGCTGGTGTTGCTGCTGGTACTGGTCGCGGTCGTGGTACTGTGCATATGTCTGGCCACCCACCGTCGCCGTCGCACCGAGCATATTGCGCGCCACACATGGTTGAACATCACTGTCCACGGTGCGCCCATCGCACATCGCACAACTCTTTGCAATAATGTATTAATCTTTCCGTGCGGCGGACATATCGTTTTTGCGCATCTGTCCACGACGGACCCGTCGCCGCCGCATCGGGGTGATCAGATTGGAAGGCGCCCCCTCGTTACAAATGTTCTAACTCATGTTGAGGCCCAGAACTCACACTTTACACTTCGTTTTTTCACAGCGGTTTTCGGGTGACCCACTCCTCGGTGGGCCACCCGCGCGGCACAGGAATTCGTACAGCGCGTGTTTGCGCGGACTCAAGTTGAGGCCCAACACTCCATTTTTACAAATGATTTGGCACAGCCGGTTTTCGGGTGACCCGCCCCTCGGTGGGTCAATCGTGTGGTGGGCGTTGCACAGGGACTCCCATGGCGTACGACTGCTTCAATTCATGTTGAGGCACAGAACTCAAACTTTACATTTGGTTTTTCACGATCGGTTTTCGGGTGACCCGCACCTCGGTGGGCCACCCGTGCGGCGTGCGTTGCACTGGGATTCGTATAGCGTACGATTGCCCCACCTCGTTTCGAGGCCCAGAGTTAAGACTGGCTTTTCGCCGGTCAGGAAACGGATTCAGCTTGCAACGCGCGCGCGGCATCTGTTCCCCCAGGAAAACTTGCGGTCCTGCCCTTTCGAACGGCCGTTCGTTTCATCCCAATGGGGACAGCTTCTTCGACGTCTCCACCCCGGCGCGGCCCGCCACCGCGCCAGCCCTGCCATCTGTCTGGCAGTTGTTCGGATGATGGTTGTGAAGATGATGGTGTGGAAGAGGACAAACGGGGAGCATGATGATGATGAGGAGGAGTCAGTGCGGACTGCGGCAGCCTAGGGCTAGTGCGGGCACTGTCCGTTGTCGCCGCAGCCGCTGGCTTTGACCGAGGATGACGAAAGTGCTGACATTTTGTAGGTTGTCTTCGACATGCGCCCCCCTCCCATTCCCTTCGTCGGCGCCGCAATTGCGTGGTCGATTCGCGCGCCCGTGAATGGAGGCGCCGCCGACGAGGGGCGGGGGGGGGGCTGGCGCATGCCGTGGACGACCCACAGTCCAGCAAAAAACCACAACGGTCTGGCGCACGGAACGGCCGCGACAGAAAAAAAAAAGTTCGTCTGCCCACGTCCTGAATTGTCTCCCCTGTCTCCCTCATGACATTTCCCCTTTCCCTCCCCCTCCCCGTTCGCTACCTGCCGCCTTCCCCCCGTCCCCTTCCAACAAACAAACAGGAGATCGTGACGGGACCTCGCGTCTCCCTGCGCGGGGCGTTGCCAACCGCTTAAATGTCGGCAGTGCCGTGAGTTCCTGCGGGTTCCAGTGGATGTTGCAGTGTTTTGGGGCAGCCAATCGAGGACGCATCCTGTTGCGAGTGGGTTGGGCACGCCTCCCGTTGCATTCTCACTTTCTCTCCCCTTCCCCATTCGCTTCCTGCTGCCTCCTCCCCGCCTCCTTCAAACAAAGAAACAAACAAGCAAACAGGAGATCGTGACGACACCCCTGCGCGGGGAGTTGAGCTCCTGGGAGGCCCAGTGGATGTTCCATTTTTTTTTAGCAGCCATTCGAGGACGCAACCTGTTGCTAATGGGTTGGGTACGTCCCTGGAAAAGTGTCGTTCCCTGCGCTGGGCGCACGCCTCCCTCGCAGGGCTCGCTCTCCACCTCTTGATCCGCACGTGTCTCCACTCGTCGCTTGTATGTTTTGTGCGTGCTGGGGGGGGGGGCTTCCCTTTGTCGCACCCCCGCGCACCTCCGTCCGCCCGCTTGTCTGCCCGCTGGGCGGCGCAAGGGTTCAGCTCATTCTGGAGCTCTGCGAGATGCGAGAAAGAGTGGGATCGGGGGCGTGCTCAGGAAATTTCGGTGCCGGTCCATCGTGTGGGCCTGCGTTGCCTCTGCGGCGTCGCATTGAGAGCCGCCCCGCTCTCTCCTTCCCTCGAAGGGTCAAGGGTCGCGGCCCCGTCTGCCCTGAAGGGGCCTGGTGGGGGGGCCATGGCCGCCAGCAGTTCCTCGTCGGGGCCCCTTGCGGGCGTTGTTCAACTGGCGGCCGTCCCGGCCGACTTGCAGCGCGTTCCGAGACAACTCCGGCTCTTTAGAGACGCGCACACGCAGCAGCAGTACATAATTCTTGACGCTATGCGTGTCCCAACCAGCACATCCAGCAACGATGCCCAGACGAGTTGCCCTGGCCACGGGAGTGGGAAGCCATCGTCCCCCAAGACGACGAGTACGTAGGCGGAATCGGGGGACGATGGGGGGGAAGGGGAGGAGGGCGGAAAGGGAGGACGGGGCGGATCAGTCAAATGAGGGGGGAGGAGGATGGCGAGCAGGTCCAAAGGCTTTTTGGGGGGCCTCTCGGAGGCTCTTCTGTTGTCTCTCGGGCTGTTCTGGGGAGCCACGAAGGGCCAACTTGAGCAACCTTGGGCGTTCGAAGTTCCCGCCGCCCCCCTCCCCGCCGTTGCCTCGCCCAGACGGGGCGGGAAAGGGGTTTGGAATAGGAAACGCTCTGAACCGCTTCCGCCCGAAGGGCGGGTGGATTCACGATGATTTGGGTGGCTACAGGTCCCCCCTCCCGCCTCCCGCTGACGAAGCCAGCGGTCTCGGTTGGAAGTTGAAGGTGCATGAGGACCTTGGCGTGCATTACGTCTGCACGGAGAAGGAGACTCAGTGGGTGAACAACCTCACCCTCGTGTTCTGCAAACAATCGGCGTCCACGGGTGAGGTATTCTGGAAGGGCCCAGGGGATGCGTCTTTCAAACGATGGGTGCGGGCTCAACAAGATCACAGGATATTGCCTTTTACTTTTGCGTCTGAGGCCTTTACCGGCGACGTCGAAATTCCAGCTGCCGCGTTCTCCGTGCCCCAGCACGGTTGTACTCTATGGCTTGACCTCGCCGCTGTGTTCACGGAGTTGCAGTTGTCCTCGGAGGGGGCGCGGCCATCTAAGTGGATTGACAATCACAAGACACCGTGGCACAATTGCTTGAAGCATGCGCTCTTGCCCCAATTGCACTTTCGACACCCTTTGGAAACAGCGAGCTCGACCAGCGCACCGGATCCCAACAGATGTCTGAAATTCTTCTCCAGTACTGTCCCTGGGATGTTCTTGTTCTTCTCGCGAGCGGCGTGGGCGTCATCTGACAGAGCCGGCCGAGCTCGCGACGCGGCTGACAGGAGAAAGCTCTCGGACTTTTTGGCTGCGCTGCTTCAGTATGTCCCTGAGAATCCCGTCCCTGGCGGGGGTGCCGCTTCCCATCGTGCCCATTGTCTTTCTTTCTGTCTTCGTATTTTTCGTCTCCCCCCATCCCCCCCGACAGTGATTCGCCCCGCTCGCCGAGAGATCGGGGCGTGGAGGGTGCATCGCCGAGGCTTCTTGGCCGCGCGGATTTCGAGTTCCATTTTTGCTGGGACGGCGCGTCTGTCAGTGAGCCGGGTTGCGGCGTCAGTGGCCGCTTTCCTTTCAAGGTCCGATGTCTTCGCGGGCGCGTGCAGCTTGAAGATCTCTGGGCAATGGCGACCACTATGTCTCAGGACCCCATGGCTGAAACCGTGGCTAGTTTCTTCCACGGGGAGGGCCGCGAAGTGTTGGTGTGCAGGTGGCTCCAAGTTCTTACTGGCGCTCTGCCGCTGCAGGGGGCCGGGGGCTGGCTTTCCAGGCAGGCTCTCATCGGCGCCGCCGAGGCGGTGGAACGCGGGCTCTTGTTGGACCGCCCAACCCCGTCGCAGGATCTCATTCTGGAGGGCAGCCGCCATTGCATTCGCAGCGAGTTGTACCGTTATTCCGCGGTTGCGCCTTCCGCCCGCGTTCCGGGGATCGGAGCTGGATCGGCGGTGCGGGGGAAGCAGGGGCAGGAGGAGGGTGAGGGGGTGGAGGAGGAAGCGGAACAGTAGGAGAGGCGTGGCCTGCGTGGCCGGGCAGGAGGGGGAGCGGAAGCAGGCGGAGGAGGAGGAGGAGGAGCAACCTCGAAGTCGAAACGCTGATTCGGAGAGCCACGCGGATTTTCTAGCAGCGAAGTCGAGCACAGAAGGCCACAAGGTTTTCAGCATGGCGCCGGACGGTTTCAAGTGCGGGAACACCCATTACTATGCCGCCCCGCTGATGACCAACTCCACTGGCATTGCCTTCTGGTGTGCGCCGCAGGAGTTCGGGTGAAATTCCCAACCATCCTGTGGTGTTGGGTCCTCGTTTTGCAGAGACGGTGCCCCGCGTCTCTCCTCCTCTCCTCCTCCTCCCCCTCCTCCTCCTCCTCCTCCTCCTCCTCCTCCTCCTCCTCTCATCATCAGCATCATCATCATCGTCATCGTCACCGTCATCATCAGCATCATCATCATCATCATCATCATCATCATCATCATCGTTCTTATCACCATCGTCGTCATCATCATCGCCGTCTCCATCATGGCCACACGTTTCGTGGACCCATAGTGAGCTCCACCGAAGGCCCCAGTGGCAAGGTCCGCATGCGGTTCCACCTCCATTTCGGCGCACCCCTCACACGTTCCGTGGCCCCATAGGGAGCTCCGCCTAAGGCCCAAGTGTCAGGGTCCGCATGCGGTTCCGCCTCCATTTCGGCGCACCCCTCACACGTTTCGTGGCCCCATAGGGAGCTCCACCGAAGGCCCAAGTGTCAGGGTCCGCATGCGGTTCCACCTCCATTTCGGCGCACCCCTCACACGCTTCGTGGCCCCATAGGGAGCTCCACCGAAGGCCCAAGTGTCAGGGTCCGCATGCGGTTCCACCTCCATTTCGGCGCACCCCTCACACGTTTCGTGGCCCCATAGGGAGCTCCACCGAAGGCCCAAGTGTCAGGGTCCGCATGCGGTTCCACCTCCATTTCGGCGCACCCCTCACACGTTTCGTGGCCCCATAGGGAGCTCCACCGAAGGCCCCAGTGTCAGGGTCCGCATGCGGTTCCACCTCCATTTCGGCGCACCCCTCACACGTTTCGTGGCCCCATAGGGAGCTCCACCGAAGGCCCAAGTGTCAGGGTCCGCATGCGGTTCCACCTCCATTTCGGCGCACCCCTCACACGTTTCGTGGCCCCATAGGGAGCTCCACCGAAGGCCCAAGTGTCAGGGTCCGCATGCGGTTCCACCTCCATTTCGGCGCACCCCTCACACGTTTCGTGGCCCCATAGGGAGCTCCACCGAAGGCCCAAGTGTCAGGGTCCGCATGCGGTTCCACCTCCATTTCGGCGCACCCCTCACACGCTTCGTGGCCCCATAGGGAGCTCCACCTGAGGCCCCAGTGGCAGGGTCCGCATGCAGTTCCACCTCCATTTCGGCGCACCCCTCACACGTTTCGTGGCCCCATAGGGAGCTCCGCCTAAGGCCTAAGTGGCAGGGTCCGCATGCAGTTCCACTTCCATTTCGGCGCACCCCTCACACGTTTCGTGGCGTCATAGGGAGCCCCGCCTAAGGCCCAAGTGGCACGGTCCGCATGCAGTTCCACCTCCATTTCGGCACACCCCTCACACGTTTCGTGGCCCCATAGAGAGCTCCGCCTAAGGCCCAAGTGGCAGGGTCCGCATGCAGTTCCACCTCCATTTCGGCGCACCCCTCACACGTTTCGCGGCCCCATAGGGAGCTCCACCGAGGGCGCCAATGGCAGGGTCCGCATGCAGTTCCACCTCCATTTCGGCGCACCCCTCACACGTTTCGCGGCCCCACAGGGTGCTCCACCGAAGGCCCCAGTGGCAGGGTCCGCATGCAGTTCCACCTCCATTTGGCGCACCTCTCACACGCTTCGTGGCCCCATCGGGTGTTCCACCAACGACGATACTTACAACGGCGGCATTCGGAATTGCGTATGGTTGGGCCCTTCGCCAGGATAATTTCTGGGGCGTTGTAGCCTCGGTAGTTGTGTGTCCGTTTTCACGAGACTGTTCAAACCCTTCCTGGGGCACCTGGGGCCTTTGGGTCAACGGCCTGGGGTGCGGCCTTGGTTTCGGGGTCCCTGGACTCCATAGCCCGTGTTCAATGTCCCGGTCGGCGGCTTTGAAATCCGGGGCCAGCGGGTCCAGGGCCGCGGGGCCCGAACCCCTGGAGTTTATCGTTTTGGATTCAAGGTTGCCGCATCCATAGCCCGTGAATCCTTAACCTGGCAATCTCGCGCGTCGGAGCCCAAGGTCAGCGCGACTTGTGGGCCTTGTGGGCCTCAGGGGCCTGTGGGACTTTTGGGGCATGTATCATTTGGGTGGCCTGTGAGACTTGTGGTGCTGGCCCGAATTGTCGGGCCTGTGGCGCCACTGGGGCACATCGATGCGCGGCGCTGGTGCGACATGTGGGACCACGTGGGATTCTGGGACCTGCGGAGCGTGTGCGGTCCATGCTGTTTGTGCAATCTGTGGGGCCGTTGGGGCTTGCAGGGCCTGTGTGGCTTGTGGGTCCTCGGGGTCTTGTGGGGTCCTGCGTGGCTTCTGGGGCTTGGGGGGCCTGCGCGTTATGTGGGACTTTGGGGCCGACAACACCGTCCCCCCAGGCCGCCCCCCCGCGCTCTGATGAATGCGGGGCCCCGCGTATTATCAATTCTCGGTGCCAGAAATGACAATTCTCGGACCGAAAATAACTTGTGTTTGGCGGCCAAACCACTTTAGTAAAGCGGACAAACCCACTTTAGTAAAGCGGGCACGCCACTTTAGTAAAGTGGACGAAGGGGCTCGTTTGCTGTAAATTGCCAAGCAACGCCACTTTACTAAAGCGGACAGGGCACTTTTAGTAAAGCGGGCACGCCACTTTACTAAAGCGGGAAAACCACTTTAGTAAAGCGGACAAACCCACTTTAGTAAAGCGGACAAACCCACTTTAGTAAAGCGGAAAAGCCCACGTTAGAGAAGCGGAAGAGGCATATTTAGCACAGTGGGATTGCAGTAAAGCGGACAAACCCACTTTAGTAAAGCGGAAACAAACCCAGTCTTTAGTAAAGCGGAAAAGCCCACGTTAGAGAAGCGGAAGAGGCATATTTAGCACAGTGGGATTGCAGTCCCGCGGGCCGGGCGCGCGGAGCACGTTGGGACCGCAGGTAAACCCCAGAGTCGCAGTGCTTGCCGCGATAACACTTAAAGGGGAGTGCTGCACGTCGAGGTTGTACGCCTTGCTGGGAATGCTGGTGTTGTATCGGCTTTGGTTTCGCTTGCGCCTTCGGGCTTCTTTTGTGGGCGGGGGGGAAATCGATAACGGATGGGTCGGCACGCCGGTTTTTTGGGGCGAGGGGGGGGTCGATAGCGGATGGGTCGGCACGCCGGTTTTTATGGGGCGAGCGGGGGGTTTGCTCCAGGTCAGTCAGTGGTCTCATTTGGGCGTGTCGACCGCTGGTGCTCTGGGATGTAGTCAGAGCTGCTAGCGGGTGGACGGTGTTGCTGGTTGGGATGGTGGAGCGGTGGTTGGGACCACAGGAGGAGGAGGAGGAGGAGGAGGAGGAGGAGGAGGAGGAGGAGGAGGAGGAGGAGGAGGAGGAGGAGGGGTTGGAGGAGGGGGAGCGAGAGTCGGAGTCGGAGTCGGAGGAGGGGGAGGCGGATGAGGAGGGGGAGAAGGAGGAGGAGGAGGAGGAGGAGGAGGAGGAGGAGGAGAGGAGGAGGAGGAGGAGGAGGAGGAGGAGGAGGAGGAGGAGGAGGAGGGGGAGGAGGAGGAGGGAGGAGGAGGAGGAGGAGGAGGAGGAGGAGGAGGAGGAGGAGGGAGCGGAGGAGGGGTTAGGATCGGAGGAAAGGTTCTTCTCCCTGTGCCCCTTCGCCGATCTGTGGCCGTGCACGCTGCAGCTTCCAGAGGCGTTCTAAACGGACGTTCTAAACGGGGCTCTGTTACGGCAGGTTCGCGTCGTGTCGACGGGCTGCTGCCCCAGCGCGGGCGTGAAAGGCAGAACGCCGCTTGTGGCCCAGAACCGGCCCAGTCTGGAACGATCTGGCTCTCTGCAAGGGCCGATCGTTCAGGTTTGAACGATCCCCGCGGTGTCAGTAGCCAACGCCAGGGTCGACACGACGCGAACCTGCCGTAGGCCATGGTATGCCGGGCTATGGAATGCCATCACGCGCATACTCTGCTCCCTCTTGACCTGAAATGATGTGATGCGCTAGGTTGTTCGATTGCCGTGCGATGGTATGTGTTGCGAGTGATGCGAACAGGTGGTATGCATCTACGGCTGTGTTGAGCCACGCCATGCTGGGCCATGCCATGCCGCGCAATGCCATCATGTGCTGCTGCAGGCTATGTCAGGTTCCGCAACTGCGACATGTGATGGTTTTCGATACCATGTGCGGCTATGCGTTGTCTTGTTGTGCTATGATACGCCTTGCGATGCTAATCTATGCTGTGCTAGCCTAGGTTCGTGCGATGTCAGGATACTCAAATAGTGCGTGCGCCATCATATGCTACGCATCAGTCGGTTCCCCACGGTCCCCCCCGGTCCCCCTCGGATCTCTTTAGTTCCCGTCTTTCCTCCTCGGTCCTCCTCGGTCCTCTTCGGCCCCCCTCGGCCCTCCTCGGTCCCCCTCGGCCCTCCCTCCGGTCCATCCTCGGTCCCCCTCGGTTCCCCTTAGTCCCCCCCTCGGCTTTTATATATTTTTCCTTCGACCCCTTTTTTTAATGTATGCCATTGCCCGCCAGTCAGAAGTACGTGAACCCGGCCTACGGGGTGGTCCAGCACTGTGGCGTCCTACGCGGATTCAAATGTGACCTCCGAAAACACGAGCCAGTGACAGTGCGTGCTCAGGGTTGTGCTCGATAGGAGTTGGATTCTTGACCGAAGTGTTTTAGGAATTCCAGTGGTGCATGTCTGTCGCCTTGCCAGGGGGGAAAAAAAACAAACAAAAAAGAAAAAAACAAAAAAACACGAGCCAGTGACAGTGCGGGCGGCGCAGCGAGTCTGCCAGCAGATGCGCGACACGCCGGCGTCCACCCAGTTCCCCCTCGGTCCCCCTCGGTCCCGTCGGTCCCCCCCAGTCCCCCCTCGGCTCCCCTCGGTCCCCTTAGTTCCCCTCGGTTCTCCTCGGTCCCCGTCGGTCCTCCTCGGTCCTCCTCGGTCCTCTTTGGTCCCCCTCGGTTCCTCTCGGTCCCCCTCGGTCCCCTCCCGGTTCTCTCTCGGTCCACCCTCGGTTCCCTTTAGTTCCCCTCGGTCCTCTTCGGGGCCGGTCGGTCCTCCTGGGTCCCCTCGGTTCCCCCGGTCCCCCTCGGCCCCACCTCGGTCCCCCTCGGTCCTTTTCGGTCCCCCATTACACCCCCTCGGTCCTCCTCGGTTCCCCTTGGCCTCCCGCCCGGTTCCCCCTCGGTCCCCCTCGGTCCCCCTTAGTTCCCGTCGCTTCTCCTCGGTCCGCGCGCGCCGTCGGGAACAAACGCCGAGAGGGGGAAGAAGGGGGCGTGGCAAAAAAGGGGGGGGGTCTGGCGAAAAGGGGGGCGTTGCGATGTCTCCGCCCTCGGGCCGAAGACACCGCAACGTGCCGGGCATAAAGACGCAATCGATGTACCAATGTCGAAGCTCATGCGGCCCATACGCAGCAACACAGAGCGCTGCACTGGCGGGCAGAAAACAAAAATCCCACGCAGCAGCAGACAAAAATAATGGAGGCCAAATCCCATGGGTTTCCCCTAGTCTCCCACGGTCCCCCCTAGTCCCCCTCGGTCCTCCTCGGTCCTTGTCGGTCCTTCTCGATCCCCCTCGGTCCCCCTCGGTCCCCCCCCGGTCCCCCCTCGGCCCCCCTCGGTCCCCCTTAGTTCCCGTCGGTCCTCCTCGGTCCGCGCGCGCCGTCGGGAACAAACGCCGAGAGTTTCGGTGGGGATCGCTCGAAGCAACATATTTCCCAACCATCCTGTGGTGTTGGGTCCTCGTTTTGAAGAGACGGTCGCATCCCGCGTCATCTCCTCACATCGTCATCTCCATCCTCCACCTCCTCCTCGCCGTCGTCCCATAGGGAGCTCCACCGAAGGCCCCATGCGGTCGGCGCACCCCTCACACGTGGCCCCATAGGGAGCTCCACCGAAGGCCCAAGTGTCAGGGTCCGCATGCGGTTCCACCTCCATTTCGGCGCACCCCTCACACGTTTCGTGGCCCCATAGGGAGCTCCACCGAAGGCCCAAGTGTCAGGGTCCGCATGCGGTTCCACCTCCATTTCGGCGCACCCCTCACACGTTTCGTGGCCCCATAGGGAGCTCCACCGAAGGCCCAAGTGTCAGGGTCCGCATGCGGTTCCACCTCCATTTCGGCGCACCCCTCACACGTTTCGTGGCCCCATAGGGAGCTCCACCGAAGGCCCAAGTGTCAGGGTCCGCATGCGGTTCCACCTCCATTTCGGCGCACCCTCACACGTGGCCCCATTCCACCGAAGGCCCGGTCCGCATGCGGTTCACACGTTTCGTGGCCCCATAGGGAACTCCACCGAAGGCCCAAGTGTCAGGGTCCGCATGCGGTTCCACCTCCATTTCGGCGCACCCCTCACACGCTTCGTGGCCCCATAGGGAGCTCCACCGAAGGCCCAAGTGTCAGGGTCCGCATGCGGTTCCACCTCCATTTCGGCGCACCCCTCACACGTTTCGTGGCCCCATAGGGAGCTCCACCGAGGCCCCAGTGGCAGGGTCCGCATGCAGTTCCACCTCCATTTCGGCGCACCCCTCACACGTTTCGTGGCCCCATAGGGAGCTCCGCCTAAGGCCCCAGTGGCAGGGTCCGCATGCAGTTCCACTTCCATTTCGGCGCACCCCTCACACGTTTCGTGGCCCCATAGGGAGCCCCGCCTAAGGCCCAAGTGGCACGGTCCGCATGCAGTTCCACCTCCATTTCGGCACACCCCTCACACGTTTCGTGGCCCCATAGAGAGCTCCGCCTAAGGCCCAAGTGGCAGGGTCCGCATGCAGTTCCACCTCCATTTCGGCGCACCCCTCACACGTTTCGCGGCCCCATAGGGAGCTCCACCGAGGGCGCCAATGGCAGGGTCCGCATGCAGTTCCACCTCCATTTCGGCGCACCCCTCACACGTTTCGCGGCCCCACAGGGTGCTCCACCGAAGGCCCCAGTGGCAGGGTCCGCATGCAGTTCCACCTTTATTTGGCGCACCTCTCACACGCTTCGTGGCCCCATCGGGTGTTCCACCAACGACGATACTTACAACGGCGGCATTCGGAATTGCGTATGGTTGGGCCCTTCGCCAGGATATTTTTTAGCTGACGGTCGTGCTTTTGGGTTCGGCGCTGGTACACACGATTCCTTCCCGGTCTGAGTGAGAGCCCCTCATGCGTGCCCATGCCGCCTTGGACAGGAGGTTCGGCCTTTCTTCGGGGCAACGGAGTTGTTCGAAGAGGGGCAGGAGCTGGAGAAGGACCGTCAGAGAATTCAAGAAATCGCCCGGACATCCTTGAAACGCAAGGCTGGGGACGATTCCGTCAAGATCCCAGCTCCTGTGAAATACCACCGCATGCACTCATACGATTTTCTCCTGTACGTGGATGCCGTTTGTCGCACGTGCACGCACATTGGTGGGCTGGAGGCCTATAAAACCGACGGGGATGACCCGTGCGAATGGGCAGCGTTGAGTATCGCTTCCGACCAGGCTGCTGATATCAAAGCTGGCAAACATTACCTAATATGTCGCAGCCTGCGGCAAACCCCGCCGCCGTGCCAACGAGGCGTCCTACCAGGAAGATTAGATTGGGGATCCGTTCCAACGGCACGCAAAAGGATCCACCAGTAGATAACCAACGCACACGCTCATACACCGTTGCCGTGCACGCGCGGCGGTGGATTCAAGATGGCCTTGAACATTGATGATGTGGATGACAATTCGGCACGCTCCGCGTAACCACACGAACCCGAGCAAGAACGTTGCCCAGGCGAGGTGCCCTGATCACTCAAATGCGGGAGCCCTCAGCGGAACCACGGCGGGGGAAGCCGTCGTTTTCAACAAGGGGGATGGAGAAGGAGAAGAAACAAAGAGACAGGGGGAGGAGGGAGGAAGGAAGAGCCACAGGCCTCTTCCATGCCTCTCGGAGTCTATTCGGTGGTCTTTGGGGAGCACCGTGACAATCTGTTGGGGCGACCTGCGGGCTTCTCGGCGGTCCTGGGAGCCTCTGGAGCGTCCTGGGTGCTCCTGGGGTGCCTCTTTGGGCTTCCTGTGCGTCTCTTCGGGGCCGTTTTCGGTTTCTTTTAGGGGCATCCTTGGGGGCTTCTTTGGCCGGTTTCGCGGGCACTCGGAACCGTCTTGGGGCAGTCTTGGGCTCGCCCAGGCTCAGGGGGGGGACACCCTCCCCGAGTGAAAAAAAAGGGTGGTTGGAAAAAGTAAAACTCTGAACCACCTCTGGCCCGAGGGCAGGTGGGATTCCCACGGAGCTTGGAACGACGAGCGTGGCACACTAAAGGAGGTCGGGCTTTGGGAGCATGAGTTACTGATGTGCGCTGCTTACAATGTAAACTACGGCACCTTGTATTCCCCCGACCGCCAGGGACAGGTCAACAAAGCCAACGAAGACCAACGCAAGTTATTGACTCCAGGCACGGACGCTTTGTTCCTCCACCATCTACCCCGGATTCTTGATGATGAGGGGCGCGCCCATCACGTTCACGCCCCGAATATCGCGAAGGAGCTGTACGGCGATCTGGCGGAGGACAAGCAGCTCTCCAACAAGGGCGACAAGGTGGGATTGTGCAGGTTCTACGGGGCCATTCGCAAAGCCAAGCAGGAGGAACGCATATGGGCACGCAGGCAGTACCTACTCGACACCGCCGCCGCCAAGTTGGGATACTTGCCTAGATCTTTCAACCTCACCGACAAGACTTTGAGTGCCCAGAAGGCAGCTGGAGCAGCAGGTTCGGGTGCATCTTCTAGCATGGCGCAAGGCAACAGGGAGATAGATAAGATCCGAGCTGCCACAAAGAACAAATTGTCGACGCTTCGCGCAACCCCACCAGCCCATCCAGAAACGATGTCCGGACGAGTTGCCTTAATCAGGGAAGCGGGGCAGCATACAGAGGGACAAAAGGCTGGGGAGGCCGTCGTAGCCCAAGAGGGGGATGAAGGAGCAGGAATCGGAAACGGAGGATGGGGAGGATGATGACGGGGAGGAGGGAGGAAGGAGGAGGAGGCGCAGGAAGAGGAGGAGAAACCGGCGAATGTTGATGTTGATGTTGTTGTTGTTGTTGATGATGATGATGCTGATGATGATGATGATGATGATGATGATGATGATGATGTAATGGTGATGGTAATGGTGGTGGTGATGGCGGTGGTGATGATGCTAACTCCGAGGATGAGGACGAGAAGAAAGGCAATCAGATGAGGCAGAGGCCTTTTGAATGCCTCTTGGGGAGCCTCTTTGGGCCTCGGTGTGGTCTTTTGGGAACCTCTCGGGGGCCTCTTGGGCGCCTCTTGGATGCTCCTGGGCGCCTCTGGGGGCCCTCCTGGGGCGTTCTTGGAAGCCTTGGGGTCGCTTCTTGGGCGACCTTGGATAAAACCGCTCAACAGAGAGGGTTCCCCAAGTACCCTTGCCCATCTAGACCGCGCAATGCCGCCTCGCGGGCCCCTCTTCCGAGAATCCAAGGGGCGCCCAGACCGTTACTCTACAGAGTCGACGCGGGGGAACAGGGAACCGTTGTCCAGCCACCTGAACTGATCCATCAGCTCTTCTTGGGCTGCGCCGATCAGCTGAGTGCGCAACGAACGTTGGATTGTTGGGGCGCTCCTGGGCGCTCTTGGGGCCGTCTCCAGGCTCTCCGGGGCCTCTCTTGGGGCTCTCTTCGGTTCCTCTGGAGTGAGGCCTCGGGAGGCCATCGAGAGCAAAAGGGCGAAAAGTCAAAATCCCACCAGCCCTCTGGACGTAGGTGGTCTAGGGAACTCTTCTTCCAGTTTCCTCATGAAACCCCTCTCCTCGCCCTCTTCCTCGGGGTCGGCCCCCCCACCAACCCTTTCCACCCTTTCCACCCCCCCAACATCCCCCTCCACCGCCCCCTCCACCTCCCCCCGCGCACCCCCTTCCACCCCACCCCCCCCGGCCTAGAACGGGGCCGTTGTAGATGACAGCGGGGCCGTTCTAGACCACAACGGGGCCGTTCTACCTTAAGATAGAGCCGTTCTAGCCTAGAGCGGGGGTGCTCTAGGATTCTACCCGACAGCGGGACCGGTCTGGCTAAGCGCGGGGCCGTTCTAAATTAGATCGGGACCGCTCTAGCTTAGAAGGGGGCCGTTGTCGCCTAGAACGGGGCAGGCGTATGCCAGAACAGGGTGCCCAGGGCCTTCTTGGAGCCATCCTGGGCCAGCTTGGGCTCTCCAGTGCCTCGGGGTGCGCCCCGTCCAGGCCCGGGGAGGGGGGCGCAGGGGGAGGGGGGAACCCCTCCCCGAAGAGGAAAACGGAGGGGTGGAAAAGGAAACGCTCGAAACCACTCACGCCCAGAGGGCTGGTGGATTACATTTGGCACAAGTGATGTACAATGACCGCAACAAGCATCTGCAACGCATGATCCTTCGCGGGGCCACGGCGGCCGAGCAGTGGCATTCCGAACAGAACAAGGCTTTGCGGTCCGTCAAGGAGGGGGTGCCATGGTATGTCAAGCAGGTTTCCGGCAAGATGCACGGCCACATCGTGGACACCGCCAAGGCTATTTTTCAGTTTGAAAAGTACGAGCGCATGGGATTAAAACCAGTCTCAGCCTTCCCGGAGGAAGGCCCCGCTTTGGCAGATTATCCGACAGTTTGGCGCCTCCGCCGCCCGAGGCCCCGTGCATCCCCCCTCTTCTTTCGCTTCCTGCCCCCCCGTGCGCCCGACCCCCGTGCCAGCCCGTCCCCCCCGACCCTCGCTGCGCCGCCCGTGTGAGGGGCCAGCCCTTGCATCCTCTGCGCGGCCGAGTGAGCGGCCAGCCCTTGCATTTTCTGCACGGCCGCGCGCGGGGCGAACCCTTGCACCCTCTGCGCGGCCCCCCATGCGAGGGGCCAACCCTTGCATCCTCTGCGCGGCCGCGTGAGGAGCTAACCCTTGCATCCTCTGCGCGGCCCCCCGTGCGAGGGGCCAGCCCTGTATCCTTGGCGCGGCCGCGTGAGGGGCCAGCCCTTGCACTTTCTGCGCGGCCGCGTGAGGAGCCAACCCTTTTCATCCTTTGCGCGGCCCCCCGTGTGAAGGCCAAAACCTTGCATCCTCTGCAGCGCCCCCCGTGCGAGGGCCCAGCCCTGCGTCCTCTGCGCGGCCGTGTGGGGGGCCAACCTTTGCATCCTCTGCGCGGTTTCCCGCGCGCGGGGCGAACCGCTGCATCCTCTGCGCGGCCGCGTGAGGGGCCAATCCCTGCATCATTTGCGCGGCCGCGTGAAGGGCGAACCCTTGCATCCTCTGCGCGGCCGCGTGAGGGGCCAGTCCTTGCATCCTAGGGCGCGGGCCCCCGTGCGAGGGGCCAGCCTTGCATCTTTTGGTCGGCTGCGTGAGGGGCCGACCCTTGCATCCTCTGCGCGGCCATGTGAAGGGCGAGCCCTTGCATCTTTTGCGCGGCCCCGCGTGTCTGGGGGGCGAACCCTTGCATCTTCCGCGCGGCCGCGTGAGGGACCAACCTCTTTATCTTCTGCGCGGCCGCGTGCGCGGCCAGCCCTTGCGTCCTCTGCGCGGCCGCCAGAGGGGTCAACCCTTGCATCCTCTGCGCGGCTCCCCGTGTGAGGGGCCAAACCTTGCATCCTGGGCGCGGCCGCTTTTGGGGCTGCGTTGTCGAAGGCGCCCGCTGGCCCAATCAATTGTGGCATGTCGTTTCCTCGTTTTTCGGGCCCTTCTCGACCCGCCTCGGGTCTGGCGGTTTTTCGTACGGACGCGGCTTATGGAGAGGTGTTGGAGCAAGATGAGGACGCCTTGCTCTTGTGGCGTCTCTGCTTCGTGCTCGCGGGGAAGAGATTTGTCCGGTTACTGCCGCAGCTCCGCGGATACCCCCGGCAGTTGGCAAGGATTTTGGATTCGACTCAAAGGCCTACCGCTCTCAGACGGCTCCGCGATGACTACGCTAATTATCGAATGGCCTCTGGTCAAATCCGCCACCATTCCTGGATTGTGGGGCAGAGGCCTCGTCCTATTGTGCTCATCCGAGGCCTCTTCGAGGCAATTTTGAAGCGTCCTGGGCTTCTTGTGGGCTCTTTGGACGCCCCATAGGACCCTGATGTGGGCCTCTCGGGGGCGTCTTGGGGACTCGTGTGGTTTCCTCGGGGGCCCCTTCGGGGTAGATGTCTCGAACTTTCGATGCGTTTTCCCCCTCGTTGGCCCTTATTGGTGCCGTCTTGCGGCCCTCTTGGGCCTCATCGGGGCCGCTATCGGCACTTCTGGGGCATTCTTGGGCCGTCGCGGGGCCCTCTTGGGGGCCACTTGGGCACGCTTGTCTTTCTCTCTCTCTCTCTCTCTCTCTCTCTCTCTCTCTCTCTCTCTCTCTCTCTCTCTCTCTCTCTCTCTCTCTCTCTCTCTCTCTCTCCTCCTCCTCTCTCTTCCTCTCTCTCTCTCTCTCTCTCTCTTCTCTCTCTCTCTCTCTCTCTCTCTCCTCTCTCTCCTCTCTCTCTTCTCTCTCACTCTCTCTCTCTCTCTCTCGCTCTCTCTCTCTCTCTCTCTCCTCATCTCTCTCTCTCTCTCTCTCTCTCCTCTCTCTCTCTCTCTCTCTCTCTCTCTCTCTCTCTCTCTCACTCTCCTCTCTCTCTCTCTCTCTCTCTCTCTCTCTCTCTCTCATCTCTCTCTCTCTCTCTCTCACTCTCTCTCTCTCTCTCTCTCTCTCTCTCTCTTCCTCTCTCTCTCTCTCTCTCTCTCTCTCTCTCTCTCTCATCTCCTCCCTCTCTCCTCTCTCTCTCTCTCTCTCTCTCCTCTCTCTCTCCTCTCCTGTCCTTTCCTCTCCCTTTCCCCGTCTCCTGTCCTCCCACCTCTCTTCTCCGTCCTCCTGGGTCATAGCCCCCTCTCTCTCTCTCTCTCTCTCTCTCTCCTCTCTCTCTCTCTCTCTCTCTCTCTCTCTCTCTCTCTCTCTTTCTATATCTCTCTCTCTCTCTCTCTGCCCGGCCCTCTCCCTGGGGGCCTGGCCCGACCATGCTCAATATTGTGGGCATGGGGCAGACAGCCCCGAGGGGCCTGAGGACAGTGCAACTCGTGCCTGAAGCACGGTGGCGGATCGCAGCATCAGCGAACAGGTCGGCAAGGCGCCCATTTTTGATGAGATGTGCGCGCGTTCGGATTTCAAGCGTCGCATTGTGTCAGGCGTCGTTGACATTCTCGAAAAGGAGAAAGGCTGGGAGGCCCCCAGCGAGAAATTGTTGAAACACCTGCTCGTCCGAGAGCGGAATATCGAGCTGCCTGCGGCAATTTTTGCCGCCGCGCGAGCCCAGCCGCCTTGGTGGATGATGGCGGTGACGATTATGATGACGATGATGGTGATGACCCAAGACGGCCCCAAGAGGAACCCAACAGGGACCCAAGACGACTACATGATCATTATTGGAGCTTTCTTGGGGCCCTCTTGGAGCCCTCCTGGAGGCCCCGTGAGAGGGCCCGAGAAGATTCCAAGAGGGACTCAGAGGGACCGAAGAATGCACCAAGAGGAGCCCAAGACGGACCAAGTACAACTGCATGATCATGTCGTCGATTCGGGGCCCTCACGGAGCCGTGTTTAAGCCCTTTTGGGGGCCTCTTGGAGCCCTCTTGGGGCCTTCCTGGAGCCCGAATGGGCCCCCCTCAAAGATCCCGGGGCGATTCCAAGAGACACCAAGAGGGGCCGAAAAAGGCTCCAAGAGGAGCCCAACAGAAACCAAAGAGGACTGCATGATGATGTCGTCGACTTGGGGCCTTCATGGAGCCCTCTTGGGGCCCTCGTGGAGCCGTTTTGGAGCCCTCTTGGGGCCCTCGTGGACCCCGAAGGGGCCCCGAGATAGGTCCGGCAGTAGAGAGGCGGGTGCCTTTAGAAGATTAGAGAACCCCCCCCAGACAGCACTTCGCATTATAACAAAGCACAATCGCGCACTGTGGTGGCGGATCAAGGGTTCGCAAGTGACTGAGGATGGCATTCTCCGAGGCAAGTTGCAGATATCTCATGCTCGGAACGAGGTGTCCCGCTCTGAGCGGGTATGGGCCGCCATGATAGATGCTAGAGTCCTCGGTAAAGTGCACAAGTTCACAGAGATCGATCGTCTCACGGAATGCGAGGTCCGGGATCCTGAGTTCCCGCCAGAAACGTTCAAACATGAACCATTCGACGTCCAGAAACGCATTGATCTGCGCGGCATTATCCACGGGCAAAAGACTGCATGGTGATTGGAAGGGGGAGCTCCAACAGGGTGCGTTACCGGACCGCGGGGGGGGGGGGGGAGCCAGGGCCTTTATTTTGCGCGGCTATTCGTAGCAGGAAAATGGGGGCCGCGGTTCCTCCCTCCCTCCCCGTGGCAATTCGTCCCTGCTTGGGTGCTCGCAGAGGTATTCTCCTGGTCCGGTCAATTTCCACGCTGCGCAGGTGGACATGGAGCTCTGTGCTGAGCTAGTCGCCGAAAACCGGCTTCAGCTGGCGACCAAAGCGTGGTGGTGCACGATTGTGCCCGGCAGGGCGTCGACATTAATCAGAAAAAAAGGTTCTCCTAACATGTTTTTGGCGTTGACGGTGGCCTGCCAGGAAATGGTGGTTGCGTGGCCGTTCTTGGAGCAGAAAGACGACGTGGGCGTGTATTACGTGCCCGCCATCCCGTGCGGGCCTGATGTGGATCAGAGCTGCAGGATGGTCCATGCCGTGGCCATAGCGGCCCAGGGGTGCGAGGGAGGACTTGATGCCGATCGTCTTCCTGGGTCACCATCTGGCCCGTGCGATTTCTGTCGGCTGCGATTCAAACAGGTTCTCATTAGAAGGGAGGGAAAGGGGGCGAGGGAGGGCGGAGGAGGGTGGATGGAGGACGCAGGGCGGAGGACGGAGGGAAGACGAAGGGGGAAGGGTGGAGGGAGGGAGTAGGGAGGGCGATGGGCGGGAGGAGGAAGGGGAATGGGGGAGGCAAAGCGGCGGAGGAGGGATGTGGTGGGGGACGGGAAGGGGCGGGAGATGTGGGAATGCTGAGGAGAGAGGAGGAAGGGAGAGGAGGGGGGAGGAGGGAGGAGGAGGGGACAGAAGAGGGAGGAGGAAGGCGCAGGGAGGGAAGGGGTGGGGGATGGGAGGACTGGTGGGGACGAGGGGGAGGGGGAGGAGGAGGAGGAACGGGGGGAGGAGGAGGAACGGGGGGGGGGAGGAGGAAGGAGGAGGGAACAGGCACAGGAGGAGGATTAGCACGCGGATGAGACGGGGAGCCTCTTGGGGTTTTGGTTGGGCCCTGCAGGGCTTTTTGGGGCAATCGTTGACCGCAGTGATACGCCGCAGAGGAGGTCGCGTCGCCCCCCCTCGTCCGGGGCCTTCAAAATCATACCACGAGGCCTTGTAGGGATACCCTTAAAGGTGTTATCGAGCGGTCTTTGGCGCAGCTCGGGGGCTCCGCAAGCCCTGGGGGGGGGGTCATGGGGCAATGTCGGGGCCATCTTGAGGCTTCGCACCCGAGCGGGGCGAACGCGCAACAATTGAACAATCCGCCATGTGCATTTGTATGTTTAAGGGTTGTTGACCTCCTGTGCCCCCCACGTCGGGGGCCTCCGAGAGCAATTGGAGTTGTCTGGTTGCCCTCGTGGCGCCTTTGGGATGTATGTCGGGAGCGATCATGGGTCGCTTACATTGCTCCAGCTTGGAGGCCGTCTTTGAGCATCGCAGGCCATCTTTAATCCATATCGGGCCATCCAACGCGCTTTGACCGCTCGTGGGCCGCAATCAAACCGCGGCCGACAGCGGCGCTACAGGCCCAGAGTTTGGTATCCAC